GAAAAACATATGACAAAGTGAGAAAATTCTAGCACGCAAGGTGAATTGGAGGAGGATGGGTTATAAAAGAAAGCTTATTTACACACTATGCCTATGATAAAGGAATAAATGACATCAAACATAAAACTGCACGTGTTCGGGTGATAAAAGTGTCATTAAGGGCATATTTTATGAAGAAACGTTTGATGAATAATACAGTGGACTATTATGTATTCTATTCTCCTCTGTTCTTGCGAAATTACCATTTTGTATCTATAGTCAAGATTTCTCTCTTTGTCATATGTTTTCTTGATGATGGTAGGAGTACATACCGAAAGCTCAAATAAATATAATAACAAGTGAATTTAGTTTAAATTCAAAATGTATTTTGTAGCAGTTCTATACTCGATTTATACTTTTTTATTCCCAAGTGGCACCTCAACAAGTTAATTAAAGAATCATTGTTGACAATTAGCACAAACACAATTGAACGACTCCTCCTCAGCTCTTTTCTCGTCAGATAGTTCTTGTATAGAGTATTAAGAAAATCATCCTCATCCTCATATGATTCATAACCACTATTTGTTTACGATTCGAAGGATATAGTAATAACAAGTTGTAAAGTTAGCCATCTACATCTACAAGAGCCAATTTTATTAAGAGAAATTGATGCGCTACACGATCAAACGGTTTTTTGAAATCCATGGTGAGATCAACATTTTTCCTTCAAGTAACTTCCCGATTTCGCCCGTAATCTATAAAAGAGCATCTGTTGCAGAGGAGAGTGGACGAAAATCGAACTGAGTATATGAACAAAATTTAACATCAGTTAAATACTTTAAAAGAGTGTCATGGATCAGAATTTCAAAAAATTTCCTCTACTATTGTCAGCCTAATAGCTAAAATGACTTTGTTTCGCAGATTTTGTATAATAAACTCAATTCTGGACTCGGCTTTCATGTTTAATTCGTTGAAGTTTTCTATTTCTGAGGTAAATCAAATTCAAAATGTTTTTTGGACAAACATAAACAGCTATCTTTTGAATGCTTTATTTCAAATCCTGTATTCTTGATCAAGTACTTGTCAAGTGCTTAAGTTGTCATGTACTGCTCCAGTGCTCATCAAGCAATCAAGTACGTGTACCAAATGCATCCACTAGAGTATGTATTTTTGTTTGTATGTTATTGATATCATAATATTTATATTATTATTATTATGGATAATATTGGTGTATTATTTTGACTAAACGTTTTATTTTATTTTATTCACTGTAGTCAGTATCCAATCAGTGTGATGCACAAACGTTTGTACCAATGGAGAATGTTACGTTTTTTGTATTGAATAACAAATACTAATAATCTTTAGGTTAACAGCAGGACTTTCATAACAAATTTTACTGTGTTCACCTTTTAATTTATTTTATAAGTTAAAAAATGAATAGTCAACTGGCTAAAAATACAAGTCAGACATTTACTGATGAATTCGCGGTGTTGTCTGAGTTTGTTTCCTTTTTTGTCCTTGACACAAAAAATGCATCTCACGCTCAACATTCATAATTCTTCAAGTATTCATTTGTATAATCAAGTGGAATTGGACCACTACGTTTGTTTTTCTAGTTTCTAATCAGAATTGAGGATCTAATAATCGCTGTATAAAACCTACAATTCCGTGTAATTCGTGCTCTATGCCACCCAAACGATAACGGGCCACTGTTGATCAAACGGCATTTAGCATGTGAGAGATCAGTCCCATAAAGTCGACACAGATAGCCAGTGACATACCGGAAAATCGAACCGAGATATCTAACCTAATTAATAGTATTGATTCACATACTTTTTTCAATTTCGCGGTTACTACAAACCACAGAGAATAATAAATAACTTACAGTAGTATGTTATGACTTTTCCTAGCGCTGGAAAGTTTTGTTAAAAGAGAACATCTATCTAAAATGAAGAGGATAAAGTTGGAAGATACTATTATGTACTTATATAGCTTAGATATGGGTATGGGAAATATTGCAAACCACTTCTGGGGAAAATCTCTTAAGATAAAACAAACAGGCAAAAAGAAAGAAAGAAAAAAGTGTTTTTCGACTCTTATCCAAAGTCTGATAGCCGTTTCTTATAAGATTATGCTTTGGATAAGAGTCAGAAAAAACTTTTTTCTTTCTTTCTTTTGTTTTATCTAAAGGGGTTTTCCCCAGAAGTGGTTTGCAATATTTCCCATATCCATATCTAAGCTATATAAGTAAACAATAGTATCTTCTAACTTTATTCTCTTCATTTTAGGGAAGTCGTCAAAATTCGCATCGGTGAATTTATTCACCGGTAACTGGATTGGAAAGAAAATTGAGAACAGTATTATTCAATCCGCCTAAAGGAAGGAATATAGAATTATCGTATAACAGAAAGGACATGTATGTATATATTCTTTTTTGTACTATACTTGACTAAATCTATTTGTATATTCAACCGGTATTATTTGATGTTACGAAATTGTTTTAATCAGCATCTATAGTTAAACGAAGAATATAGAAAACAAGGACATTAAATATAAATATTTTATTTCTGACATAAGAGAAATTTTCAGAAAAAAGCTTAACCTTTATTTTTTTTATGCAAAAATAGTTAGACATATTCCAGAGATATACATAATTCGTTAGCATTACGAATTGTACTCTAGATCCAGTCTTCTTTTAGGAAAGGGTACCGTTCAGTTTTTGAGTTATACGACTGCCAATATCACTGTTCAACTTTTGAAAACTTTAGTTTCGATGAAAATTTCAGAAAATTTAACACGTTATAAGTTTGTTGATACTTTTTGTAAATTAATCTTGGATGTATTATTTTTTCTCATTCAATGTGTATAAGGCACTATTTTTATTATTTTCTTTAAAATGATTAGAAAGGTCGAAAATTATCGTTCATCTTTAATATATTCAAGGAAGAGAGTGCCCATTCTAAACTTATTTCGTATTCTCCCAACTGGCAACGTATTTTCAGAAAAAGTATTAATCAAAGAAAGACAGAAAAACTGTGACGCTATGACACTTTCGAGTGCCACAGCGTCACGGTTTTTCTGTTTTTTCTTTGATTAATACAGATTAATTAGAATAGTTTCAAACTTAAAAAGCTATCAAAATCTTGTAGAGCAAACAATTTTCTACAAACTGGTATGCTTGCTCATCTTCACTCTTTTAGACATTTTTCTGATAGCCCCAAAATCGATTTTTTGGGCTGTTTGTACAACAGCTGTATTTTCATAACGAATCAACGTTCAGATCCGAGACACTTTTCATTTTGTAGAGAAATGCTCAATCTACTTAATTATCTAGTTGCAATTTTAGATTAGTTGGTAACTTTATTGCAATAATTTTTTGAAAATGAGCCAGAAAGGGGGCCGTTAGCTGGACAAGCCGAGTACAGAAAAGGATATATACATACATGTTCTTTCTCTTATACGATAATTCCATATTCTTTTCTTCAGGCAGATTGAATAATACTGTTCTCAATTTTCTTTCCAATCCAGTTACCGATGAATTTATTCACCGGTGAATAAATGCACCGATTCGAATTCCCTTCGATAGATGTTCTCTTTTAACAAAACTTTACAGTGCCAGGAAAAGTCATAACACGAGCATAGCATACTACTGTAAGTTATTTATTATTCTCTGTGGTTTGTGGTAACCGCAAAATCGGAAAAAGTACGTGAACGAATACTATTAATTAGGCTAGATATCTCACGAGGGGACCTTTTCAGATGTCAACCTCCGATTTCAAGGATTTATATGTCGAGTGATAGAGGATAGTGAGCTAGTAAAAACCCTAAAAGGATTTGACCCCTTGTCGCTTCTTTCAAAAGTTACGGAAGTTTTTCTCGTGTTTCCTAGTGAAACAAGAAAAAATTTTAAATTTTAGAATTCTCTCAAGAAAAGGAATTAAGAGTTCAATTTTTTTCTGTGGCTCTTCTATATGTCTCTGATATTCATAGAAAGTTTAAATATTTCAATTGATTTTGTTTCGCAGTTATAAAACGTTTGAGTTTTCCAAAGATTTGCTGTTGGATACGTTCACAATGAAAGAGCGATAAAATCGTCAGTTCTTTATAAAAACTGCGAAAAATGTAAGATCTGAAACGGTTTTTATGCCTTATTTCTGTTCTGAAACCAAAAAAAGTGGCTTCAGGCTGATCGTGGATTATAGATTCACCAGAAACATCCTTGCAAACCGGAGTTTTAGAACACCAAAGTCATATAATTTCGATTATTCAGCATGTGCACTAGTCAAAAGCACCTCATGAATACTTGAAGAGTTATGAATGTTGAGCATGAGGTCCATTTTTTGTGTCAAGGACAAAATATTTTGTTGTTAAACATTGAAGAATGAAATCTGATATTAAATTCGGAAAGATTTCTCGGATTTCAGGGAGCGAAAGAGGTGATCGTGAGTAAAATTCTAGACGGTTCGGAGATAAATGAGTTCTTCGTAAACATGAGGAATTATGTGGAGCGTAAAAGGTTTTAGAAAAACAGTTTTTTCTTTAACTCTTGAATTCGTTTGCTATGCAATCCAAACACGCCTTTGCTTGATAACTCACTACAGCATAACTATCTGTATCCCTTTAGACAGTCACACAAACAGTTTTTCTTTTTTCAGTCAATTCTTATCACCATTTAAACTTAATCTTTTCCGGTTTGTGGAGAGTTGATTCAAAGTATTCGTGATCGGTCAATTATATAAACCTCAATTTTGATCTAACTGTTCAGCATTTACAGTAAGACTTTATATAAAAATAAGCAAATTTTCTTTTCTAACGTAGTTGAGCGTCACCAACTATTGAGACGGATGAATCAGCAACTGGAAAACATATGATTCATCTATGAATCACCCACTTAGTAATTGTGCCAGAAAATCGAGAAAATACTGATTATTCATATTACTCAAATTAGTAATTGAGGAGTATAAGTAGTTTGTTTCTTTTTCGGTCTTAGATTTTCACTTCTCTTTCCATCTACGTGAAAGATGTCAGCAACAAGTATCTTTGATCCAGCTCATGTCCAGTCAGCAGTTATGAAGAAAGATCAAAAATTTAGCCAGATAAACAAAACATATTATCAAACTTTTGGTGTATTACTTGAAAACATGAAAAAGGATCTAATTAGAAAAGAAGAAACCACTATCATTCCCATTACTGAAGCAAAATCCATAATACTGGAACAAGATGAAGTAAAACAAGCTGTCAAACGAAAACATCAAGAGTGTGATGATGAAATACAATCTCAAAAATCTTTAGCAATCAGTATTTCTGTACCAAAATTATTTCAAGAATTACCGATAACAGACGATATTCGTAAACGTACATTTTCTCACTGGCCACTTAAACTACCGTCGAAAGCACAAATGGTTGAGAGTGGATTTTTTAACTGCAATGTCAGCGATCGAGTCATTTGCATCTATTGTGATTTGATCTGTCAACAATGGGTACATACTGATGATCCAAGTGAAATTCATATGATCTTGTCACCCAACTGTTGTTTTGTCAAATCAAATTTAGTTTCATCAGCTACAAAATCGAGAGCTATTCTGAATGAAGCACCAATCCTTTCGTCGAACGGTGTAATTGTTCTAACTCAAGCATGTAATAAACAATATATTGAGATATCGAAGCGACAAGCGACATATGCAACTTGGCCATGTGAGCAACCTTCACCAGCTGTTGAGGAATTAGTTAAGGCAGGTTTTTTCTACTCTGGTGCAAAGACAATTGTTGTTTGCTTTTACTGCAATGGATCATTACAAAACTGGGGCGAAAAAGATAATCCGATGATCGAACATGCTCGATGGTTTCCTCATTGTGCTTATATTAAACAATTGTGTGGAGACGATTTATACCAAAAGATTCAATAATCCAAACGATTAGCTCAACGATGTAGGTTAAAAAACGAACGAAATCAAGAATTGATAGGACTTAGCTAGGGCAGATATCGTTTAAAATTGATACTAATCTTTTTTCCTGAAGAAGATACTCTTCGAATATCATTCATATTTCTAATGAGATCGTTTAACTGTTTCATATTTAGCTCAACTGAACAACGCTCAGCAACAAAATCTTGCGTTGATTTCTACTATAATGACAAATGGAACAACTGCTAATCCAAATAATTTCTTTGGTCACTTACAAATTCTAGATGATAATACATTATCACGATTCGTTGCTGCAAGATTAGATTTACCTGTATCACTACATCTGTTAAACAAGTTTAGATTATCGATTATCAAACGTTGTTACGAAGATCAATTAAGATTGAAACGTATGGTTAGATATAACTCTCCTTAGCGAAAATATCTTTCCCATTCTCCTGGCAAAGTCTTGTTTCACAAAATATCTGAAATCTCGTTTTATTTGGCAGGAAAGCGTAATTTTTTCTCTTAAATTCAAATCAGAAATCAGATCTTCACTCAAGAGGGGCTCTACACCCCTTCAATCTTTTCTACGAGGATTATTATTATGGGCGCCAAAATATAAGGCAGATTGTTATTTTTGAATAACTCGAAGATGGTGAAAAATAGAGACCTGCGGTTTTTGGCAGTCGAAAGAGGACAGATTAGCCTATATTTTCATGTGCAGAAACATTTTTTGAAAAAATTTTTCAAACCGATTTTTCAGAAAATCTCTGGAGGGATAGTTCAAAGTGTTCTCTACAAAATAAGATCTGACTAAAAGTTTCATTTTGCTTAGTCTGAGAGCTTCGAATGTTTTTCCCGAAGCCCTAAAACGTCTCTATTCTTCGCTCTAAGACCTTCAGGAATGCATGAACACATAGGTTATCGACGATGAATCTCGTGGCAATGTTAGTTTTCAAAACAAAACGCAAGAACTGAGTGAAAACCTATACTAGATAAAATAATCCATTGTCATCGAAACGTCGAGCTTTTTTTAAATTTTTTGTTTATTTGTTTTAAAAAAAAGTTAAAAAGCAAAAAACAAAAAGCTCGACGTTGAATCACGGCTATGACTACTTGCAACTAACTTTGTTCCAACAACTTTTTTCAAAAATCTAACCCTGCTGAATTATCGCTGGCAAGGTTATTTTAAAAACACTTTTTTTCTCCCCAGCAAAATACATGCGGAAAATTTTTTTATAATTAAGTTTTGATCCCTTTATCGGCTTTTCCGGCCATACATATAGATTATCCTGGAAGAGGGCATCAAATTGTACAACAGAGCCCCCTTAAGAAATTTGATTTCTTGTTTCAAAAAATGTAGAATCTGATTTCTTGGTGCAAGCAATTTCCTTTCTTGCTCCATGAAGTACAAGAAGCACAAGAAATAATACTATTTCATTCAAGAAAAACAAGAAGGGTACTCCTTGCCTTCTTGACTCAAGATCTTGTGACCAAGAAAAGAAGAAACGCTTCTTGGCTCAAGACATATCCCAATTTCTCCGTTTTTCCCTCTTTCTTGCAGCTTCTTGGGTCAACTATTATCAGATTTTACTAATGTTCTCATAACTTTATAAAATTACTTTCGCATTCTAGTTAACGATTTTGCAAGTGATAATGATTTGCATATGGCCTGTTTGATCCTCCACAAGCAAATTGAAATAATTGACGGCAAAAAAGAAAACATAATCATTCCGTCGAAAAAACTGCAACAAATAACTGAAAGAAGCAAACAAGGTATGTGATTTAAAAGAGTAACATTGCAATAGAAAATTTATTTCTGATTTAAGCAGAAGCTGAGGTACAGATAGCATCCGTACAACTATGTTCAAATGAAAACAAGTTGGATGTTGAAGAAAAGGAAGAACATTCACCAATGATAGCATCGATTAACAATGTAACATCTTTAGGTATGAATACAACTGCAATTATTGTTAAGAATAGTAAGACTTCAGAATGTGTAGCATTTGAAACTGAGCTCCAATAGATTTTGACAGTTTTTCAGCTGTTAATTCAAAACTGCTAAAGACATGTCTAGAAAATACTGTCTAGACAGTATTTTCTAGCAAATGCGATAACATGTTATCTGTTTCTAATCGATTTGTGCCTTTAGACGAGAAACCGATTCGCAAAGATGAGCAATTAAATGACACAAATGTTTGTGTGTCATGCACTAATGAAAAACAACTGGCTTGTATCCCTTGCCGTCATTTAACAACATGCGTGTCCTGTGGTCCTAAGCTTCTAACATGTCCAATATGTCGGCGAAAAATTGAAGCTTTCATTCGAGTTTACATCTAGCACTACTTCAACATTCAATCAAAATAATTAAATTTCATGAAAAACATTTCTGCGAAATTTTATTAAAAGAACTGGTAAAAGCAGGAGTAAATGGAACTTTGTTGGATTGGTTTAGGTCTGTTGGAGATAAACTCTCCTAGTATGGGAAATGACAGAATGTTTTACGATTAAAAAATGCAATCATTAGCCGATGCATATATGTTAGGTAAGGTGAAATTGATTGGGTAAATCTATTAAATTAAATAAAGTTTTTAATTAGAAGCTTTGTAGCGTTTCTGTTTCGGTCTAATGCCTCTGAAAAATTTCTCTGGTTTGTCTGATATACAAAATTTGCTAGACTTCATGTCAAGTTGGTGCACAACTAACGAAATAGATCTAAATATCGATAAATGTAGCTATATGCCTGTCTCGAATTCAGTTTTGCCGGAGCGACTAGCGCTCCTTCTTTTGGCAGGGAAACAAATTGAGACAGAAAATAATATTAAGCTACTAGGTGTATATCTTTCGTCGGATCTTACGTGAAAATACTACTCGACGGTGTAGGCAAACGTTAGGTGCCATGAACCGAATGTTTAAATCTGCTCCATGTTTTATTCGACTTCATATATACAAAACGTGCATTTTACCTCTTATTGCTGTGTAGTATTTGACAGTAACTATCTAATACAGTTAAACCAACTAACCTCGGTGCACAAGTTAGCTGCTCGCGTAATATTAAGTGACTTCGTTTCTGATAGTTCTTCTCATTGCCAAAATTACAGTTACAAGATCTTGTCACAAAAAAAAAAATTTCCAGGCTGATCTTATTTCACAAAATCATTATCGGACGAAGTGCGCTTTCACGTTTTTCTTTAGTAAGTCTACTTACTACTTGAACATCTCTACAGCCGTCTAATCGATGTCTTTGGCAAGTGCCTACATATAAACGTAAAACTACTAGCTCATCGTTCTTACCAAGAACGATACAGGAACGGAATCAGTTACCGAGGGAGGTCATAGCCGCATTTAAGATCGAACTTTTAAGCGTGCATTGCCGAAACATCTTTTTTCTCAAAGAAGTGTCTCTTTTCCTCAATTAAGCCATATATTTGTTAAATTTCTCTTTTTTGTTCGGTATGATCTAGACAAAGTTTCTTTTAAACTTTTATCATCACCAAGTCAGCTTTAAGATTATGGACTAAATAAAATTATGTACTTACTTATTTACTATTTTGCCACCTTCACTTGTCACAAAATTGCTTTTCAGTCAAATCTGATATACTCTTTCAAAACTTTTACTCGACATATATATCTGTCGTGCTTTATTCAGTCAGATAGAGAGAAGTGAAATGCTTTTGTGACGGATAATACTAAGGGTGTTCCAAAAGTAATGGCAACATGCTTTATTACCATTTAAAAATTAAAAACTTTCAAAAACTAAGCAATGCATAATAAAGTATATTCAATAAGCTTTCGAATGATATATAATACTTG